GCATACGAGAGAGAGAGAGAGTTCTTCTTCTTCCTCTTCTCAGTCCACCATCTCCCTCTCACCCTCTCGTTATCTGACTTCACTGCATCAGCAGACTATGAGAGAGAGAGAGAGAGCTTGGTGACATTTGGATCTGGACTCGACATTGGACTTCAAACATTTTGACGAGGGATTATTTGGGACTTGTAACCCCCGGCCTCGATTATTTGGGACTTCAGACATTTTGACTTCACTGCATCCGTTTTCGTGAAGATCTTCACAATCCAAGTTCCCGCAGGGTACCGAGAAATTTTGTTGACCCTTGATAATGTCGCCCATAGTGCAAGGAAATCAGCAACAGCGAGATGACAAATCCATATTGCACCATCACATAAAAAGCCAGATAGTCACACAGTGTCCAGAGAGCAGCATTGCACCAATAATACACCAATGGAGGTTCGTAGTACTGAAAACCAATGTCATGGAGAGCTTTCTCTCTCCTTCAACAACACAAGAGTCCAGACCCTTCATACTCCTACTTGGCGCTCAGCGCCCAGCCTACTACACAACTACGATCAACCTAATAATAGACAATGCAACTGTTGACATCAGCGGCAACCCGAAGTAATTGAAGATGTCGCCCATATGCTGACCATCGCCAATACAAGGTAAGTGCCCTCACATCATCATCATCATCATCCTTCGCCCTTCCCTGACTTAACACCCACACCTGTCCTCTCTTGCACCCGAAGACCACCCATGCGCCTCACTGTGTATCCAAGTCGAGCCCGCTATGGACGCTGGCTATGGCGCTGCCCTCAGCAGCGCCCTGCTCCCACACACGACCGCACGTGCGCAGCCACTTGCTCCAACGCCGACAGCCAGCCCGTGAGCAATTGCTCCAGCAGCGCTGCCGCCAGCCAGCAAGTGACCGAATGAGGCTGCCAGCGGAGAGCTCTTTCCTTTATGGAAAGAGCTGGCCTGCTTGCCCCGCCTGGCTGCCCTGACCTGGGCCTAGAAGCTTCCGGAAGGCCCCAGGAGGCTGCCTGTGTACAGCAGCTACTGGTCTGCTGGGCCTCGTTCGGTTGGGCGCCCAACTGTCTCTGTATGAGGCTGCGAATCACGCCCAGGGCCTGCATTCTTTGGAAAAGCCCGGATGGCTGTGGAAATGTCTTTGTTGCCCGGCCTGATTTTCTTTCAACCAACTGGCGCGTCGCAACTGCCTGGACCCCAAATATGAAATTGACAGTCGGGGGCCTCTTGCGATATGACAGGCCCGCCTTCACTTAGGGCGGGCAATGCTGCAAACAGGGCCCCTTAGGCCTACCGAGAACCCCGATCCTCGCATTCCCTCCTCCTTTACTTCGTTAGTCTGAGAAGTCTCTTATTTTGCAGGCATCTTCCCTTTCCGTTCTCTTTCATAGTCTGCAATGACTTGAGGTGCTGTTCTCATGAGTTCCTCTCATGTGAACCAGCGATCTTCCTTGGGATCGAGGTGATGTCTGAAACTCACATGATACTGCATTCTCGGTTTAGGAGGGCGCCCTCTGCCTGATGATCGAGGAACAGGCATCACTCGGTGCTCCACGATCTGGTCGATGTCCACCTCGCCATCCATGGTTGGGGGCAGCATTGATCTTCTTGAAGGTAACTGCTCTGTAGCAGCGAAAGGTACCAACTTGGAAGCATGGAACACAGGGTAAGTGCGGAGGTGTGCAGGAATACGGATCACGTATGAAGGCCCATCTAGTTGATCCCCTACAATGTCCAAGATCTCCCAGGGCCCAAAACATTGTGGCATCAGTTTTCTGGATATTCCCATCTCCTGACCTAGTTCAGATCACTTTACCCAGACTCTATCACCTACCTGAAAGTTAGAGGGTCGTCTATGCTTATTCTCAGATGCGATCATAGCATCCTGAGACTTCCTAATATGTTCAACGGCCTGCTGCAGCATCTGTTCATATTTGACAGCAAAATCTATGTTGTCAGGTGCTGTAGTGGGTTGTCTTTCTGGTAGCAGAAAGTCAAGTGCAGTTCTGGGGTTCCAACCAAGATGTAACTAGTTGGGAGTCATACCGGTAGCACTATGCACAGCATTGTTGTACAGGCTGGCGACGAGCGGTAACTTCTCGTCCCAGTCATCCTGACTTGGCTTAATATAATGCCTAAGCAGGTGCTGTACTACTCGGTTCATCTGTTCTGCCTAGCCATTTGACTCGGGGTGATTCCCTGAGGTCATTTGGAGTTTTGTGCCCATCTTTTCAGCGGTTGACTGCCACAGTTGACTTGTGAATCTCACATCCCTATCACTAACGATAGATGTAGGCAAACCGAAATCACGTATCCAATTATCCATAAACAGTTTGATGACGTGGTCAGTTTAAGCACTTTCAGGCATAGCGATTAGTCTGGCATACTTAGAAAAACGATCCATTATAACGAAGATGTGTTTCTTTCCAGACCTGCTGGTCACAAGGGGGTCCATAAAATCCATAGACACACTCTGACCTGGTCCTTCAGGAATCGGCAAGGGCTTGATCAGCCCAAGCGCTGCCTGAGTCCTTGGTTTGTCCCTTTGACAAACCTGGCAGGTTTCAACATAGTGTTTTGCATCTAACATCATAGAGGGCCACCAGAATCTCTGTACTAAGTTCGCTGATGTCTTCTTGCATCCAAAATGACCATTTGCATCATGGCATTCTCCTAAAAATAAACTACGCAAAGACTCACTACTGGGAACACACAGTCTTTTATTCCCTGCCTTTTGAAGAAACAGCAAGCCGTCTACCATCGTAAATCCGTCCAAAGTCTTTTTATCCTTTGCCTTGAATCTACAGATCATCTCAGACATAACTGGATCTTGTTGATAGGCGTCCACCAATGATCGAGTCAAATCGCTAGATATGCCAAACTCGGTCGCTAGTGCGCCCAGATAATCCGCCCGGCGCATCAGCCACTTTGTTGTACTCCCCCTTGATTGGATCAAGTTGATAGTCATACATGTCTATCACTTGAATCCATCGCTTCAATGCGTCAGAGAGTACTGAACGTGTCTTAATCCAACGCAAGGTCTCATGGTCAGATCTCACGTAGAAGAATCTGCCAAGGAGATAGTGTCTCCAATGTACCAGCGCTCTGTACAGGGCATAGCACTCACACTCATAAGTGGACTTAGCAAGTTTCTGAGATGGCATATCTTTGCTCATGTACTCGATAGGTTTCAACTTGGGCCCCTCCTTTTGCGCAAGGACCGCGCCTATGCCATATTGGCTGGCGTCTGTGGTCACGACAAACGGCTTATCAGGATCAGGAAGTTTAAGAACCTCATAGTGTGTCAGGGCGTACTTCAGTTTCCTAAAGGCCGCCTCGCACTCTTCAGTCCACTCCCAAGGGGTGTCCAGTCGAGTTAGATCTGTCAATGGGGAAGCTATAGTACTATAATTCTTCACAAACGGACGATAGTAGCCCATCATCCCCGAAAACGATCTGACCTCAGTAACAGTCTGAGGTCTGGGCCAGTCACGTATGCTGGCCACTTTGGCATCACCCGGCCTCAATCCATCAGCTGAGATTTAATGACCCAAGTACAAGATCTTGGGGCGACCAAACTCGCATTTCTCCAAGTTAACCTTGTACTGGTGCTGTCTTAGGAGACCGAGCACTGTTTTCAAGTGCTCAGCGTGCTCCTCTACAATCCTACTAAAGATGAGAATATCGTTGAGGTACACGACGATAAACTTGTCTAAGTAGTTATGAAAAATCATGTTCATCGCGTGCTGGAAAGTACCAGGTGCATTGCATAGTCCAAAGGGCATCACCACAAACTCGTACAGACCGTACCCGGTCTGAAATGCGGTTTTGTGCTGATCCTCAGGCCTAATGGAAATTTGATGGTATCCGGACTTCAGATCTATCTTGGTGAAGTACCGACATCCCTGCACTCTATCCAAGAGGTCGTCGCTGCGGGGTAGGGGC